AAACATTCCGTAATGTTGCTACAAAAATAATTTTTCTTGAGAGAACAAATTACTCTTGGTGATGTTTTGGGTACAAGTAAAATGATCATAATGGAAACATAATTTTTGTCTCCTTCATTGCAACTGATTTTCAGAAAAAAGCTACCCTAAAATCGTTCCAGTCCAGGCCACCTGCTTTCCCTGTGAAGCTTTTTAATCAGTGCAACAGAACAATTGGATGTTGATGAGCTTAAGAAGCTCATCTGAAATGTCTTTTCCTTAGCTTAAAAATAGTTAGCTTTCTGACGTTAGGATAGAGGAAAGCCTAAACTGCTACTTTTGCTCCAGCAACCGGAAATGTAAATTGCGCTGTAAGGAAATTGATATACGGAAGCTGCATCAATGTGTTAAAGAAAGTAGGATAGGTTTTAAACACCCTGCACAGCGCATATTTGGTGTAATTACCACAGCTACCAAAGAGCTAAGAAATATTTCTGTAATGTGCTGTGAAGTCATTTGCAGCTCTTTACCTGGAATTTTTTCGTGAAAGCAGATCATCTGCCAGTTCAACCAATATCTCTAATTGAAGGAGGATTCAAAAAGGAAAATGTTCTATGCTTGAGTCAAGACAGGATTTCATGCTATTATTTCAGCATATTTCTCCTATTTGTTTTCCCATCTGGTTCTATCATCATTGATTTAATTTCAAGTCAAGGAGAAATTTTTTGTTATTGCTATATCTCTTCTAATGGAGTCTTATTATTTCTGTTCTAGTGTTACCCAGATTGAAGAAGGTCAAATGAAAATATAATAACATTTACATCACGTTATGTGAAATAGCTGCAGCTGAAAGCTGGGCCAACAACAATTCACAATTTTTTTTAAAAGCAAAAGCACTGTGGGTCACCCTTGGAAGAATTTCTGTTGCATTCAGGATCAACTTAAGGAATATTCATGTTCTGGATTCAGACAGTCCCGACTTAAATATTTCTTTTTCAGTGATGTGCCTATATGTTTTATATATACAAAGTACCACTGTTTTTTTTTACTAGCAGGTGTAAAGTTATCTTAAACTGATATTATTCCAATGCTACCGAGAATATCTTTGGATCCCTTCTTCATTTCATTCCTACTGCTGTATTATTTCACACCAGGAACAACTGCTGAACAAAAATGTCTTGTTTAAGTTGTGATCTATGAATCTCTCAGTATCCTTCCGTACAGCAACTGCAGAGCTATGCCAGAGAAATGAGCAGGCAGATTTCGTAAATCCTGTTAGCCAGTTACCCCAGGCAGACTGCAAGTGAAATAGGGGTTCAGTTTAGTCGTCTTTTGGTTTGTATGCCAAATCATTTTTTCGTCTTCATTGAGATGTGCTTGCGAGCAAGAGCAACAAGACCTGTACCTGTGTTAATGACAGCAATTATAGGCACATAAAGTGAATGTCATCTCTTTTTGGTGACAAGTTTATTCAGATATTGACTTCTTTAAGTTCTCTTTATTTTGAGAAGGCTGATCACCTTTAATTGTGTGAATGCCATGGGGCTTGCTAAGGTACAGCTTTCATAAGCTTGCTAGTCTCTTGTATCTAGTATCTTCTACTAATTTGTCACTTCTCCCCTCTCTGAGTCTAACTATCAACAGCTTTGGCTCTTTTGCTTTGAATTAATTTTGCATTAAAATATCAGTGTTTTTTTTTTTCCTGAAAAAAATTTCTAAAAGGTTAGAGAACTGTGCATCTGTCTGAACTTAATTATCTTTCACTGTTGGTTACAGATAAACTGGTCCTTACTAAACATTAAACCTCAGTACGAAATCTTCCATCCTCTGTTTGCAAAGTTGTTAACTTAAGAATTCTTGTGTTTTTTCATGGCTGTTATACAAGACAGACCCCCGTGTGGAAGCGTACTTCATGATTTTTTTTTTTTTTTTAAATCTAGTAATTCATACCTACTATATGGCAGCAAGTTAGTCAGTACTCAAAGCAGTAAAGAAATAATGAAAGATTTTGAAAGCCTCTAATACCCCGTTTCTTGATTGTTTGAAATATCTAGAAGGATGCCAAAAATAGTTCAATGTGAATCTTTGAGTTCACTTGATTTCCCTGTCTCCCACCCTTTCGCCATTCTCAGGGGCATCGGAGTATATTCTGCAAGGAACTCAATGGAGTTGTCAGCTGTGCAAAAACTAAACTAAAACTTTATTCACAGACGTTGCTGAGAGTCACAGTCCTGCTGTTGTGTACAATCCGGATGCTTGCTGATGAAGACACTGAGTCTTCCAGACTGACCCTATGCAAGAAATACTATAATTTGAGTAGTTTTCCCATTAAAGGGAAGATTCTTCTGCCTTATGTTTTCTTCTTCCTCATTAAAGCTGTGTTTTACTTTGTGCCATTTTTATCGAGTAGTGTCCAGACCAACAGGTGTTTGCGTTATGAATAACAAATTGTTTCCCAAACAATTTCCATTAATTTGAGGGTTTCCTGAGTAGCTCAGCATTTTGTAAGTAATTTAGTTGATGGTAAATATCCTGTACTGTTTGTATAAAAGTCAAACTAACTTTTTACGGCCATTTCGTTTGAAGAATGAGGAACAGTACTGTCGAATCAGAACATAAGGCAGTGACTATGCTGTATGTGTTGGTGGTGGGGAGAAGGAGGGACCCAACAGCAGGAAAGAATAGTATGTGCAACTTGAGAATAGTTTTAGGACCACCAAGTAGTCCTCCACAATGAAAAATACAGGTTTAAAAAACTGATTTACTTTCATCTATTATTTTCACTGTTTTAAGTGTTGTTTTCGCTGTTGGTGTTGTCTTGTGGATGGTGCTGCTGATAGCGCCCTTTTCAAGATTTCTGATGCTCATTTACTAGTAAATGAGGATTCTGACTTTTATCAGTTTTCAGTGATTCAAAAAGAAACCTTTTATTTCATAGTTTGATCTTTCATATCGTTTTTTAGTTATCGATAGGCTTACCTCCTTGCTGCCCCCGTCTGGCAATTTTTCTGTTAAATATCTGGTGAATCTGGTACTTTTACACAGTGGTGGTTTCAGACTCCGTAGGACTAACGGCATTTTCAGGCACTCTCCATGTAAAAGCGTAGGACTGAGTTTCTGTAAGGTTTTGTGGTGCTCACAAAGGCTGAATTCCTGAAGTAGTGGAAAGTAGTGTAAAAATAGTTATACAATTGGCTCTGTATAAGTTTGAAAGTAGTGCATTCTTCAACAACCAAAACCCAGCAAATACCAAATAGTAGAATGTCTGAAATAGGGATTAGAAGTAAGATACTTGGTGTTTTGTTGGAAACGTTACTTTCATGGCAGAATGTTTTTAGGGTTATTATTGTTTTGGTCAGTAGACAGAATGTTATTTAGAGGCTTATATAATCATGGAAACTTTTTTCTGTGCTGAGGGAGATGAGCACAAACTTTTCTGCTATTTACTCTACAAGCTCTTAGAAGTGTTACCTTTGTGTTAATATTGTATTCTGAATTGTCCTTTCAAGTCACTCCAACTTTTAAAGCCTTTTCAGCCAGTTAACGTTCATATTCAGAAGTTACGTTCATATGCACATTGCTCCATTTGCAGTAGTTATTGAGGAACTATTTCCACTTTGTGATGTATGAAGCAGTCCCCCACAGAATTCAGGGTTGTGAGTTTTAAAAAGGAAAAAACTGGGCACCTTCAGAAAGAACAGCATTGTCAAATGTCTGTCCTCTGTGAGTTTTTAGAGTCCAGCAAATAAAGTACAAATGTTAATAGTCCTTTTCTGTCAACTACTGCTAGTAATTTTTTCGTTTTTAAAGAATGAACTTAACCTACAACTTAATTCTGCTTTTTGGAATCACTCATGATATTATTCATTTTGCCCTAGATTTTATGTAGCTTTTTCTCTTCCAGTTCAATTTCAGATTTCCAGCAAGCATAATAACAAAGTGCATATTACATGTTGGTTATACCTAATTAACGTATCAGTTGTGTGTATTGTCATGGCAAAGCAAGGGTGCATTAAAACGTACTAACTGGAAATACCAGGCAGTAGCAGAGGTTGCCAATAGAGCCCAAGGTTATTTAGATCACTGTAAGGGTCACTGTTTAACCTAAGCCGAACAAGGATAAAGTTAATGCAGCCAAAAGGTACTGTGTTACAGATAAAACAGTAAAAGGGATGATATTAGTTGCTGTTCATCCTGCTTTACCTAGGACTGTTAAATCTAGCCTCTTTTCAGAGCTGGTGATTTTAAACAGGAGAATGCTGCAAGGCTTATTTCTGAAGCAGTCTCTTTTTCTTGCTCACGTTAACAAGAGTTTTGCAGTTATTACTGCTGCAGATCCATCTTTACTTCCAGGACCTGGCGCGTAGAAGAAAACGTGTTCACTATACTATGCAGTGTTTTCCCCCCAGTTCCCAACTGCTTATTTTCATTATTCTACTCGTAAACGTACAGTTTGCAGACAGCTTTACTTGTCTTTAGTTTTGACCGCATCTCTTCTGCAAATGAAACAACATAACAGCATTGGTTATTCCTTGACTCCGTTAAAAGTGTGACTCCGGGTTTTGTAGACAAAACAAAATTATGGGTTTCTTGAGTAAGTGAAAGCATTAAATGAAAATATTTCTAGAAATGGTTAAACCAGTTCTTCTGTGTGAAACACATTTAAGGGCATCTCTGTGCTATATATTTGAAGCTGTGTTTGTAATTAGATTAGAGAAAACTGTAAGAACACATGGCCTTTATTCCCCAGAAGTAAAAAAACAGAAACAAAGCATAATTCTAAAGCTATTTTTGATAATGCAGTACAATTCAGGGCCGTTTAATGACTTGTATGCAGTTTTTCTTTAAAGGAAAATCCTGAAATTCAGGTAGTTTGGGGGTGTTATATGTGTTAAAATGTATACACAAATGTATAAAAATGTAACTTGAGGAAAGAAATATTGGATGTTTCTGTTTTTACTATGCTGTTGGACAGATGAGATGGATAAATATTATGTACTTTTTTATTTTTCCTCCTACAGAGAAGATGGAGAGCTAGAAGATGGTGAAATAGATGATGCAGGATTTGAAGATGTTAAAGAACATGGTACAAAAGGTGAAGATAAACAGAAAAATGAAAAAGGACATAGAAAATCACGGAAGAAACGCAAAAAAGAAAAGGAAAAGAAAAAGTCAAAAAGGAGAAGACGGGATAAGCATAAGGTTAGGAAATGCAAACCAAAATATTGGAGGTGCTTTTTGGAATTCAGGTTTCCAGGTTTATATTTTCTTATCCAGGAAATGAGACAAGAAGCCTAAGAAATGGTTTTAGCACCGCTTAGGCAGTCTTTGGACACTGAGTACTATTTTTGAGAGTCGTATCTTATCAAGGCATTTCAATACTAAAGTACTTGGCTAAATAGACTTTTGATACACAAAAGTGCATATTCGCTCCTTTCAGTGACAACTTGTGTAGGGTAAGAGATAGTAAATCATTAAGTCATCCAGCCGTAGCATATTATAAATGATAGTTTAGAAGCTTGTTAGCTTTTAGATGCATTTTCATAACTTTGTTTCCATCTGTTTGTATTTAAAAGAAAAAAGGTCACATTGTGGGTATAATTATGTTATTTGTGATATGCATCTTTATTGGATGCCCATTTTCTTCAGTGTTTTTTTAAAAAACAGTCTACAAAATACTGACCTTTTCGAGCATTTCACACTTTGCCGTTGTCAGTCCTTGTGGTAGTTCTGACATACAAGGCCAAAGCGTTAAACCATTTGTTAAATTGTTTAAACCTTAAACAGCGGCATAACTTAATGGCACTAGCCAGTAGCAACAGTAATGGTAGCTGAACCATTAAGGGTGAGAAAATTTTAGAATAGGAAGCATTCGTATTCTAAAAATTACTGTTTTCACTTGTGCTGCTAATTATCGTATTCATGGAAAGAAAAGAATTCATATCATTTAAGTGAACTCTTCAAGAAACGTGTCATTAAGATAATGTGTATAATTATGTTTTAATTGAGTTTAGAAAATGCAAGAGATTCACAATTTTTTTTACCAAGAAAATTAAACTTAATTGCCATTTTCTAAAAATCATGGAACCGTACTATTCTGATATAGTTTTGAGAAAGGGGCCAAAGAGTTAGAATTTATTTGTTTGCAACTGGTTTGCTTTCTAATTTTTTGCAAAACAGTGTATCTAAATAGAACACTAATATGATTGTAATGCAAGAAAAAATAACAGGGACTCGGGGAGAAAGGCTTAATGTGAGAAAATAGTTTTGAAATATTTTTAGAAAAGGGTTGGACTAGATGGCGTTCTTGATGTTATCTCGTCTACAGTAGCATGCTCATATTTTCCAGTACTAGTGGTTCCCTGCAAATTACAGTTATAAAACTGTTTCATTAACAGAATAAATTAACTCCAGGAGTTTACATGTATTTGTTTTTGGAGATGCAAGATTTTTTGGAACTAAATCAAAACATGTTCCAAAATACTAGAAAAAATAAGGTATATACACTTTGCCATTAGTTGCTGTTGTATTATTCTGTGTTTGGGTTTAATGGACTTAAATTGTTCAAAGAACTATTTTTTCGAATTGTTTATTAAGGAGGTTGCAGTAGTATGCCAAAATAACTGAAAATAAGTATTTTGAAGAAGTAGTGTGCCCATAGCCTGAAGTAGTGGTGCGTACTTTGTACAGAGAATAGCTGGGAGCTATGAGAACAGCAAGCAGCAGCAAAGGAATTGTAGGGGATTGAAAACCTGATATTTCTGGAGGTCCTTGTCTTCTGGAGGCCCAAATGTCTTTTGGGAGGCTGCTTTGTAGCAGCAAGTGGTTTCCTCAGCAGTCTAAATAAGGTATAGACCTTTCCCCTGCCCAGCAAAAAAAGATCTGTTCCATGGTCATATGCAAGTTTCTAGCCATCTCCCAGATTTGTTAGCCTTTCAGCAGCATCCTTGCTATGTTGAGAAGCAATAGGACTCAGAGGGACCCATAGGAAGCTGTTACAGCCCAGAGCAAGCACATGCAGGGATAGCCCTCAACATTTACCGTCATAAAGCCTCATTGGCTCACATCTTTGAGAGTGATCAAAGAAGGCACTTTCTTTGGCTTCCCTTAGAAGCGGAGGTTTGTGGGAGTTAAGAAAATATCTTCATCTTGTGGGCTAATGCTTCCTTTAAGTTCATATGGAGTAGAGCAGTTACATAGTGCATTGCTTAACAGCATTTGAGAGAGAGATTTTCTTTTTTTCAGCATAACTCCCCTTCCAGTGATGACAGTTCAGACTACAGCCATGACTCTGATATTGAACGTACAGAAAGACCACATAAAAAGAGTAGTAGTTCATACAGAGATTATGATTCTTCATTCACTCAGGTAATACTTTTAAAATTGATTTCTCTAGCCTTTATTTAGTTGCAATTTAAAAATGTAAATCTAGATAATGCTGTTTGTGAAGGCTGCCTTGATCACTGTGCCCATTCTCATTCAGATTTCAGAAAATGCATGCAGTTCTCATCTCCTTTGGGTAGATGTCCAAATGTGGCATGAATGTCAGTGGTATAAATAAGTGAGATGCTATATTTTCTCTATCAGGTAGCAGCTGAGCTGGTGTTTTTATTGCCTATACTGGATTTAGGCTGTACTGGGAGGAAACAGCTCTCAGAAAGCCACCTTTAAAAATCTAGGGTTGATTCTCCTTTCCAGCAGCTTAATTTGTCCTGCCTTTTCTCAGTTCATGCTGTTAAGTAGCCCGCATGAGACCACTGGGCAAAATTGAATGCTACTCTCTAAAGGTGAGAGAGAGTAACTAGAGGCAAGAAGAGAGTAGCTAGAGGCGTTACGAAATTTCATTACTTCAGAGGGGAGGAGACTTTCCTTTTAGAGTCAAACCGTTCCAGAAACCTTGAAGCCAGCCTAACCTATTAGACAGCGAAGATCCTGTCTGCAGAAACCGGAGAAGGGACAGTGCGGGCTTAGCAGTGGCCATAACAACTATATCATTCTGACTGGTAGAGACAGAACAAATTGTGTTGTCTGTGTCGGAGATTCTCAGGATAAGGAAAGCAAGAAGTAAACAAATTTATTTTAATCATAGTTCTTATTAACCATTCATGTATTGGGTATAAGAAGTTACATTTTAATTATGCCTACTGTTACTAAATAATAACTCTATTATTAATGCAAACATTTGATTCTTGTTTTAATCCTACTAACTTTGGTGGTTACTCTTCAAACTGTGGAGCATTCTATCTTTCAAAGACTCCACAGGTTAATCTGGCTTGCTTCTTGGCATGCCACGTAATTTCTCAAATTCTTGCAAAACAAGCATAACAGAATCTTGCTGACATGTAGTATCAGCACAGAGTCTCAGAACTAAGTATGAAAGTTGTACTTTTAAAAGGTGTTTGCATTTTGGATTGCCTCATATGACATAGTTAAGTTAGTGGATTTTTCTAAATATACAGATATCTTATGTATGTGTTGTAGGCACATTTCAGAGGTATCTGAATATGTGCTCTAAGCAATACTTTTTATTTTTTCGCTCATGCTGTACTACCTGCTCTGTTTTTTAAAAAAAATCAGATCTGTAAAGAGGTAGTGCCTAGAGTATCTGGATTTGCACACATTACAATGCTTTGTCGACCTCTGAAAAGTTTTCTGGAGTATAAATGCTGATGCTTTTCTTTCTGATCTTTTTTCCTATTTTGATGCATTCAAAATAAAAATAATATTTTTTACTGAATAACTGATTTTCCCTGGATATTAGTGATGCTTGTCTGTGCAGATCCAGGAGACAGCATGATAATGAAACAGCATAAAAATAACTGGTTTTGTAGAGCAGTTTGGGAGGGATGACGTTTCAAATATTGAGTTGCTTCTGAACGATACAATCCCTTTTATACAGCATGGACACTTATCAGGAAATTACATGACTTCACAGAAAATGCAACATAAAAAAAATGTAAAAAGTAAGGAGTATGATGAATATGGTCATTATAGTGATGAAAACTTTGGTAATTATAACGAGGAAGAAAAAGATGAAGATTTTGCTGATCAGCTCAAACAATACAGGCAATCTAAAGAGACTTCCAACCCTGATTTAGGACCTCCATTTCCTAAAGAACCAGTGAAAAAACAAGGGATGAAAGGGATCCAAAAAGGTAAGATAGTTTGATTTGTTAATCTGTCAAAATCTGTCAGAATGTTAATGTGTCAGAATGGAGCTGTACAATTACAATGATGGAAAAAAGGTGTTAAAACAATTTATTTATTTCATCTATAATAGAATATGTTTCTCACTGTATCTTTTGTGCCTTTAGTTGGCTTTTAGTCGCTTCATCTTTCTTTTTCCCTCTTCCTTGGATCTCTCCCCTCAACGAATCGAGCTTCAGTAAGCAGCTGCAGTAATGAGAGGTGGTAGCAGTTTTGTCATGCATCATTTCAGGATCTTTGCGTTGTTAGCAGGACGAAGAAAGCTGCCAGTGGTGAGCTATGAGTTAGCAGTCTCCCATCACTAAGTGATATGCTGTTCATCAGTAGGGAATAAAATGATACGTTCACCCTGTATATATTGAGGAAGAAGGTCAAGTGTTCTCTAATGAATACATGTTTTAAAAAAAAAAAACTACCAGAAGAACGAAGTCCAAAGTCTTAGTTGAGTAACTGCTTGAGTTAGAAATCATAGGGCTTTAAAGTGACTTGCTGATGCAGTATGTGAAAAAGGTAAGCTCTCTTCATTTGCTACCATGATGATTTGTTGTATTCTGTTTTGACTTAGAAAAAAATAAATGGGCAAAGGATTAGCAGAATCTTTTTAAGTGAGACAGGAATGATTTTCCATGTGTTTCTTGGTAACATTGCATAAGGATCTCTGTCTGCAAGTCGTCTAAGATGAAGTCAAGGCATTGTCAATAAAATCAGCCTTGCTGTGGCAGGATGACTCTCACCTGTAGCAGATGCGATGGCAGCAGAAATTTCTAACTGGTTCTTTATTTTTAAATTGATGTTAAAGGAGATGCTCTATCCCAGTATTTTTAGTTGTGACCATGACTGCTCACCTGCTGACAGCTGGATAATTACCCTCTTGGAACAGATGAAGCTTCCAAACAGTTGCCATTAAACACTTTGGTATTCAAAGCTCTGCTGCCGTATTTCTTAGGTTATGGTCTCAGCTTCCTTGTATGTTGTGATAATGAAACAGGATATATATACCTAGGTGCCAAATGTACTGGTTAATTCTGTGTTCAGAAAGTGACCAAAGGGTAACAAAATTGATATTCCTGTTTCTGCAAGAGGCGAAGTTTATCTGAAGATGATGTGCAACATTTTTGAGTGAAAAAGCAAATTATGCATTCGACCGAGAAATGAGAGGGTGGTTTTTTTTTTTCTGATTCATGACCTTTGCTAATATCTATCTTTAATTTGGGGTGAGACAAGATGCATTTTTTAAAATAGAGGTGAGTTAAAGAGTAAATATGGAGAAAAGTACTGATTTAGAGAAGAGAATGGTTCTTTATGGTCACAGCAGAACAAGCAGTTTCAAAAATGCATATGTTTGAGCAATGACAGTGGCAGCATCAGAGAAGCAAAGAGAGGCAGTCGAGAACCTTTGACCTTGCTCTAATTCAGGAGAGTAACTGTTAAAAGCGGTAAGCAGACCAAGATTGCCTTAGACAATGTTACGTTCACTATGAGACTTAACACTGACGAGGATTACAAGAGGGTTCAGTGAGATCCTGAGTGATGAGGAAAATCTTAATCAGTTGTCTTTTGTAACAAAGATGTAATTAAGAAACAAAAACAAAAAAAGGAGGTCATTTCCTAAATGAATGGGGGGGAGGGGTGAGCGCCCAGTAATTAGTCATTTCCTTTCCATTTCTTACCTGGAGGAACTGAGTTAGTGCTGCTGTGAACTAAAAATAGCTATTCCCTGAATAGAAACTGTTACACAAGGATAGATGAGCCCAAAAGGATGTTCAGCTAACGAAGCGTCTGAGGAAAGATTGCATTACTTAGGACATACTCGTACCAAACAGAAGAAAAGGCTACCCTCTATCTTGTCTTCTGTGCAGTCATGTTGTTCATATGACCTGATGTTCTTCTCATTTTAAGATGGGATTGACAACTTCTCCTTCATGGTGGCCAATTTGTGTTGTTACTGGATTCCAAAAGCATTTGTTCATTTTAGAGCCAAGATCCAGCTAGTTAATTGCCACAAGTTACCTGGATGTGCAGCAGCAGGCTTTCTGGCCCAGAGGAAGCCAAAGGATCGCTTGTCCTAAGGTGGCTTCCTAATGATGTTGTGCATATCACAGAGAGTAGCTAACCTCCTCCTTCCTGGTATGACAGCAATGTACGGTTTGACTCCCAGGGAACAGAAAACAGAGTGATGATTTTGCCTGCTTTCTAACCCTGTGCTCCAGCTTGTACATTTTCTACTACAGCTACATCAATGCCTTCTGTTTCTTCTTTTCACTCTCCAGCTAAGGATTTGCATCTGATTGTTTTTTAAATGTCTTTTTTTTATGTCCTTCTTAAATCTTTCTTGCTTGATAACAACCGGAGAAAACTTACAGATGGTTGTTAAACCACTTCTGTTTAGAATATTTTTGCATCCTTAATAGGAGAACTAGTAAAAGCCAAATTAGGTATAAGATGAAGTGTTACATTTTTGCACAACATAACTTGGTTGTCTATGATGGGAAGCTGTAACGGATGTCTTATTTGGAACCAGGACCCAGGCCTCTACTATTTTGGAAAGAAAACCTGCAATGAAATAATGGGGAGAGAAGGAGGGAAATACATTTTAAAGGGAAGAAAGGGCAAAAAATAACAAGGATTTTTTTCCCCAGTAAACCATTTCCTTGCGCTCAACAGTATTTAAATGTTTCTATTTTGGAAATAATCTTGAAAAATATTGCTAAAGTTTGGCTCAGTAATCTAATGGATTTCTTGTGAATGAATTTTGGTATGGCATCAGTAGCCCTGATAGTGTAGTGCAGTTGAGCTGTAATTCTGTCATTCGTGTCATGGGGTAGGGAGGGTTCCGTACATCTAGTCCTTTGCAGGAGCACTCAAACCTCCAAGATTTGAGAACTGTTTCTATAAAATACACCTGCCTGTACTGATAACTACAGATTACCTGGGGAAGGGAGGTGCGCAAGCATTGCATTCCGCAGGCCATGAATTATTTCAATGTGGATTCTTTAAGCGAGCCAGGTATTGGAGAGGTAATAGCATGATGTTGTCCTCTTGAAAAATTTAGAGTTGAAACGTGGTATTATTTGAAAATGACCACCTCAGATTATTTCAAGTATGTGTGCTGGTTAGAAATCATGTCTGTGCTTCTAATTGTGGGAAGCTGTTTTGAACAAGATAATTTATATGTTCAGTTTGCCAGTCTGCAAGTGATTTGAAGAGCTTTTCAAAGAGCAGGCGGTTCCACAGAATTATAAACGGCTGGTGTAGTTTTACTTGCCAACTCATGACTCAAGCTAATATTTAGGAATTCAGACTGCAAAAAGGAATACTTGGTTTCTGTTAAATTCGTCCGTATTTGATGTCACTTGAGTAGATAACCATTTTTCTATAGTTTCTCACATCATTTAAAGAGAGAATGAACCTGAAAGTAATCCTCCATCTTCCCTCTTACTAATCATCTGAACTGTTTCTTTCTGTTTTTCAGGTATTTCTCAAAGGGGTAATAATTACCATGTTGGTCGTGGGCGTGGAATGCAAAAGAAATTGAAGCGTAAAGATCGTGGCAGAGGAAGAGGGGGCAATAAAGGATCTGATGGCTTTCACGAGGTATGTGGAATTAAAAGTTAAATTCCTAATGTATTTATTTGCAAATGACTAGATATTTTGGTTTAACGGAAGAGTATTTAAGTATATATGTGTATGTATATTTTTCACCTTTTGTTCTCTTCTCTTTAGAAAAGTTAAATCCCTTACTGGAGTTTTCCAGAACTTTATGTAAAAAGTATAGTTGATAACTGAAACTAATGCATCATTTTCTTGTTTGTCTTGGAAACATGTATGAAAGACTAGCAGAAAGTGGTTTATGAGGTTCGATTTTGAATGGGATATTAACCTATCAAATTAACAAAATGTTGGTTTGTTTCTGAAAGATGACATTTTGCTACTACCAGTTCAGCTGGGGTTTTTCAGCCAAGAAAATGGCCGTTTTCACAGCTTTTACTTGTTTTCATCTGAATCGTGAAGAATTCTACTTCTTTTTCCATAGCTTTGGCTGTGGAAATGGTAATATACATGACCTTTGTTTTCAAGTCATAATTCTTTGAACAGAATATAGAGAAAACATAACGTTCAGTATTACCGCTTGTATTCATAGTTTTGTCACTCCAATCAAACTTAAACTATATAAATGAAAGAAATACAAAATTGATGATTAACAGATCAAATCCATCCATGGCCAAAAAAACCTATTTGAGCAAAACTATATCTAAATCTATATACCACAACGAGATAAGATTCTAAGGCAACGTTAGTTCATCTATCTCCCTAAAACATTGGAGCTTTTCCTCCCTCCCACGTTCAAGAATGCGTGTGGCTGGCTTCTAGTTAAAAACATGCATTAATGTATAATTCAGCCATGTTGTGTTTTTGTTTTTTTTTTTTTTCTTTTTTCTTTTTTCCCCTGTGTTCTCCGGACAGCCTAACTCTCTGGGGCTTCTGGGTGGTCCAGATCAAATTTTCCTTTCCCTGCCCTGTATGTGGTAGGGAAAAGGGAAGCCGTTTGATCTGTTACGATGCCTAGTTTATAGAACTCCTCCTTCCTGTTTCTGTAGAACATGCCCTGTCATCCAGCTAAATCTCCCAAGTTGTGGGGAAGGGTGGAGACGAAGAGGCAGCTGCAGGCAGGTCCCAGCAGGGCTAGAAGACAGAAAACAAAAAGCTGGGCTCCTGGCTACAGCAAAATAATGAATTCTGCAACACAGATGCTGAGTTCCCTGGTATGTTGGGTTAAATGTCAAAATTCCTTAGCTGCACAATTAAGTCCCTGGGATCTGAATGACACAGTTGGAGCATTTCAACCTTCGTAAAGCCATTGTTTCAAGCGCTTTGCGGAGTGGGACAGTCATTGGTTTACAGTGCTCCCAGGAAGACTTGGGGGATTGTTTCAGTGTGATATTTATGTTAACCTTGAAGAGGATCAAGTATTAGCTTCAAAGTTTCATTGTCTGTAGCAGTGATATTTCCTCAATTTTGATGTATTCAGAGTAGAGAATGGATCTTGACTGCTCCGGGAGTAGCATTTCTAGCTTGAAGATTTTGCTTCTCAATGTACCCAAATCTGCTAATCATTCTTAGCGTTAATGTTGTATGGCATTGTTTAATTTGCCGAGCAAAATGAGACCAGGCACTTGATGTGCTGATGCTCACGTTTCACCGTGTGACTGCTTTGGAGAACCACATCCACTCCATTTCAGAATTTCCTACTCGGAGGTCAGTTCCTTCTGGATTTTTGTGAAAATCGGAAATCCAGAAAAGCCTGACTTCCACTATAATCCTATCAGTAGGCAACCACCTCGTGTTGCAAATAAGACTTTTTTTTTTCTACCCTCTGCTCTGTGTCACATACAGCAGCTTACTAAAGGTCATCTACTTCCTTGACTTCTTCCCTAGCTCAGCCAGGCCCCTCAAAACCTGTCCCAGACAAGCTGCTCACCCTGCCATTCAGACCAGGCTGCTCGCTTACCTCCTCTTCTTCAAACTCCTATTTGCAGTGCAAGCTTAGTAACCATGTACAGACTGACATGCAGGAGCAGCAGAGTGCCTGACCGTCTAATTAAATGAGTTTACAACAGTTCCTCTAGCTTAAGTGCAGATGCCACGAGGGAATGAAATCATAAGAGTGAACAATCCTTTGCCCTCGCCAGGTATATAATGAATCTTACATGGTAGATCATGACTGAATTGGGCTGCTTCTCTGCTTTGCTTCATATGTTATAAGCAAACAAGTTGTTTTTCTTCTGGTGGAGGGGAAAAATGAACAAAGGTAATCTGGACGCGATAATTACATGAGAAGCACATAGAGGGAAAGAATTGACAAAATATTGCCTTGTGGTTATGATAAATATGGAAATCTGATGATCAAAGTTCATCTTCTGACTCTGCTACAGGCAATGCTCCTGTCTATTCAATTACAGATTTATTAAAATAATAACAAGAGTAAATTAATTTGTTTGAACTTCACAACATGCCTAGTGGTTACACGGATATATATATATATATGTATAATATGAGATTTGATCACAGTGGACATGTGAAGGAGCTGTAAAGATAGTCAGGAGCCTAAGCTCTCGTATCTACGTTGACAATTCAGGACTTCCTCGCGTCCGAGAGCAATAGTAGCAAGACCTGCAGCACCTAAGTTTCTGCTCAGTCTTGCTTGCCTGCTTCCTTCCCAGAAACACTGGTGACTCGCCATTCTCACGCATGTGCCTAAAATCTTCCCACTCATCACATGAGGGAGCAGTTCTGTCACAAGTGTAGTGGCCCACTCTCAATTTGAGGCAAGGAGGGTGGTGGAAGGTGGACGCTGAGGATGTGTTCAGACCCCCGGGTAAAGGATGCTGGAACTAGGTGTCGTCTTTCTGAGCTTTGTCTTTAAGGTGAAAATGCCAGCCATTAGTCAACATGTTTATCGAGTTAATTGATTAGGAGTAAGAGCTGAGCTTTTGTGGCCCACAAGCTGTTAGCACTGTGGAATTCCGAAAAGCACTCAGAAATATGCAGTGTTTGGGCTCTCACGTCACTGAAAGTTATTTATTTTACATCAGAGCTATGGAAGTGGTGGCGTCCACAGGGGTAGTTACCAAAGCATGCATGCATGCAGAGGAGCGCTTCATCAGGGAGTGGCTGGCATTGACTTACTGGGTGCTCGTGAGTCAGTGCCCTTTTTAAAACGAAGTGCTAGATGCTTTCTCCATTCAGTAACTTGTGCCCGTTACATTGTAAGAAGTTTCTGATTTCGTTGCATTTATAAGAGAGTATAAGACCCAGTGTTAAAAGAGCTAAGAAAATGTATATGTATTTGCCTTTACTTTGAGGTGTGGTTATAGTAATATTAAGAACTTAAATCATGGTGTAGTTAATCCTGTTTCGGGTAACTATTGCACTAAATACTCTATAATATTTTTGCAGCTGCACTTAATAAGTGCGCCTCAATAGGATGTTCATTTTTCTTACAGGATGGCAAACCAGTGAAGAAATGGGTTAATATGAGTCAGGAATTCATAAATCAGCATACAGTGGAACACAAAGGCAAACAAATTTGTAAATATTTCCTTGAAGGGAGATGTATTAAGGTAATTATGCACTGTGTGTGTCAGTCTGGTCCTCTTCTGTGAGGAAGAAGACGAGATGTGCCATTCTCTTTAGTTCAGCTGATGCAAAGAAAACTTGCATGATGAAGCTCAGTGTTTTGTGGCTTCTGATGTTTTATGCATTTATAGATAAATGCCAACAGAAGAGCTTGTGTGTAAAGGTCTGTTTCTGTTACAAATTTAAAAGTATAACAAATTATACTAAAATGATTGTGTTCGCTTATTAGTCTATACAGTGCAGACTTAAACTGACAATATATCATTTGTAAATATATATCAAATCTTGTAAGTGTGGAATCTGTAAGTAAGCAATGATTTCTGAATGTCTTAGTTTATCTTTTGTTATGTGGTGCTACTAATTTTGAAACATTGGAGGAATCGCTTAATTATGTATAATTATTCATCTCTCTAAAGTAAAAGTGATGTTGGGAGAGTAGTTCCCACCTTTACCAAAGAATTGAAGTCATCTTCCTTCAGCCAGCAAATGGAAGGCAGCAGAAAGAAGAGAGCACTATTTAGAGCAGTCAGCTGTCAAGCAAAAGCCCCAGCGAGACAGTCTGCTCTTGCATAACAATTTTGCTGTTGCTTCATTTTGAAGCTTATGCTGCTGTGGAGCTCTGATGTCAGAATAGTCCAGTCAATTATAAAACGCAATTAAGAAAAACTCCGTGCTTCTCGGCAAGCAAGCGCGTCATTTATTTTTAGTTTCTCTGCGTATTTAGTGATAGATCATTTTCTGTTTCTTTTTCAGATGGTGAAAGTAAAAGTGAAAATTAGTATGCTTTTCCCAAACCAGGGGGAAATTGAAAGCAATGCATGTATTGATGGCTTTATATGTTTTAGTGTTAACGTCCATTGTGTTCAGTAAGATGAGTATTTGCTGCCACCTTCAGTTTTAAAACAAATAGCTGTAAGAGCATTTAGTGTGTTTTTTTTCCAGAAAATAATTCCAAAGATTGTACAAAACCTTTCCAACAAACTGATCCTAATATATAAGATGATATGCTTAATATAAAACATCATATTGTTTGGACTTCGTTCTTCCCATGTTAAAAAATCTAATACTTTGGACTCTCAGTTTTCCCTCGCTCCCTTAAAGCAGTCATATTTTCTGATCAATTGCAGCAGTTGGTTGTATGGAAAAATAACAACAAATTTGTTTAATGCTTTTTTTTTTTTTTAATGCTATTTCCTAGGTGGACACAAAGAAGAGAACTGGTGCTATAAGAGTAGCTTGTGTTCTGTGGACCATCAGCATATATTCTTTTGAACTCAGATTCAGGAACTCTCTCTCTATGGCCAGGCCCCCATTCATAGTTTTTCAGGGACATGCTTATGATATGGTTCTGTGTTCATAAAGATAAAAAGTTTAAATTCAGCTAAGGAGGCTGTTTTTCTTTCAATACGGAATGGAATTATTTGGCATTTCAGACTGATAATGTTTCTCTTGTTTTCTCATTTACAGGGAGAGCAGTGTAAATTTGATCATGATGCAGAGATAGAAAAGAAAAAGGAAATCTGCAAGTTTTACATACAGGGTTACTGCACCAAAGGAGAGAACTGCATTTATTTGCACAATATCCTTTAACAAAAACTATACTTGAATTTAAACCCTATTATTTTTTGTTTTAGCATACCTTGACTTTCATTTAGCTGTTTTTACCTGTTTGTTATACAATGACTTGTACAGTTGAAGACAGGAAATATGTGTGGTTGAAAAGGTGTTTTTCGAAGGGGTGTGATGTGATTCTACTGCAGTTTTTTAAAAGAATTCTTCATATACTTTGAATATATTAATAAGTAAACTGATACTGTGATATGTCTGCTTTTGTGATGATCTGTGACAAAGAACACATATGTTTGGACTCTTAAAACCCAGGTTAGGCTTGCAAGTCTGGCAGATGGAACCATTGCAAACCAGATGGTTTTAAATTGTGCACAAAAATTTGGAAAATCACAGTAGTATTTCTGCAGTTGTTTTTAAGAGCATAATGATACTTTATTTTGTGTAAACTAAGGAAGTATCTAAGCTATAGCTCTCAGCATCTTGTCTATGTATCTATGTTCTCTTCCCTTTCTGTTTTTCCACTCCAAGACTCTGTTCCCATCTTACCTGCAGTGAGCAGGTATTCTGATGTATAGTCCATCCCTTCATTTTGTTGATCAGAATGTGATCTCAATGCAGATTTCTCCCAAATACATTTCATCATTGTTTTTCTTCTTTTATGTGCATTCATGTAGTTAGAACTACTAATACTGATCAGCTTTAATTTTAAGTAAATAAATAGGAAATCTAAAGTGCAGACTGAAAGCTTATATTTACTCTTAACTGATGTGAATGATTTAAATGGTGGTTATTTCTTTTCTTAAGAGATTATACCAGAGAATAGGTAGATTTACTATAGTAAGATTTTTTTTTTTTCTCCTTGGATACTCCGGAGAAGAGAATGATATGAAATTACTGGTTTGGTTTAGTTTTTACAGTTTTTTAACATTTTTAAAGATTAAAAAGCTTCACTTTGGATGCATTTATATTTTTTTAAACCTTGATCTGTTCTTGTTTGTTGTAAAGTATTTGTGTTTTATTCTGGAGTTGAGACCATCAACTTCTTAATCACAATATTAGAATCAAGTCAAAATAAAAATTAAGGCCACAGTAACGTAGCTATTAGTAGAACTTTAAATGAAACTAAGAGGCAAGGTGATTATTAGCTTACAAAATTCTTAAGACTTTGCTTTGGAAAGATTATGTACTGAGGAAGAACTGAAGGATAGCTGAAAGCTAAATTTCATAAATTTGCCAAATAATGCGAACTACAGCCTGTGTTAGGAATCCTTAATAAATTGCTTACATGAATTCCCTTGCAAGTTCTACCATACAGGAGCAAAATGCTATCAAGGAGATAAGTGCAAGTTTTCTCATGCTCCCCTGACTGCTGAAACAAAAGAGCTGTTGGATAAGGTAATTTGTAGTCTGTAAACGAGACCTATTTCTAAAAGGTTGGGCTGGAGGTTTCAGTGGGAGTCTGGGGGAGTACGATGCTAAAGACTAACGATGTTAAACATTCCTGTTTCCCAGACTTTATTTTGCGCCCCCTCCCCCTCCCCTTTTTTAAGAAATCTTCATGAACTCTGTAACAAGAAGTGTAGCTTTATGGCTAGCTTTAGCTATCTAAAAGTTAGATTGTCATCTGAATTACTACTGCACACAGGGTGGAGAAAGGAACAGGGTGGTCCCTATGAATAGTTCATCAAATCCTGACCTCTGTTTTAAGTAGAATGTTCCTGTCTCTCTCCAGTTACACTGCAAACAAGCCGTAACGGAAAAGTGACACAAATTTAACCTTGAAAACATTATGAATTTTAGAATACGTAATTCTTTCACCTAAAATTACTGGTCAGAGGAAATGGACCTTTGTAAAGTTGTCCTTTCCTGACTCCAGAAACTAAGTTTTCTTCCTGACTGTTGAATCAGTATCCTATAGGACAGAAGTAATAATAGATTTATAATTCATCGGTGCTTGGTATCAATAGATAGTAGTACTGTAACAGATAGTTACAGTCAAATGAAAAAAAGCAAGACTAAGTTGAATTGCATGCACTGCAAATTTAATAAAGGGTTTTCTACGTTGCCTTGTTCTAGGTTTTGAATACTGAAGAGGAACCACAAAATGAAGATGAAAAGGAACTGGAAGAACTCAGAAAACGTGGCATAGTTCCTCTCCCTAAGCCACCACCTGGCGTTGGACTTCTGCCAACCCCACCAGAGCAATATCCGTTTTCTGAGTCTGATGCAGAAAATTTTCAAGATCCTTCAGGAGAGTATAAGAAAATCCCATCTCTCTTTGAAATAGTTGTGAAGCCTACTGTGGATTTAGCGCACAAAATTGGAAAAAAGTAGGTTTTAGTATTTTCTGTAGAGCCCTTCATAAGAAGAAAGCATGGATATTTGAACAGTTGTCTGCATTTCCATCAAAAGCGTATGCTGAGTATATTGCTAAGTTAATGATATGTCAGATATTGGCTATCGTAATTATTTATTTATTGAATGCTTTCCATGGGTGACAACTGTTGCTGAGCCTTGGCCTTGCAGAAACTAACTCCATTAGCTCTGTTTGGGGCTGCGTGCCTGCCTTGCCTGTCTCTGTTTGCAGTTGAACAGAGTTCATTCTCTTTCTAGAATCTTTTGTAGTTAGTGTTTTCTTGACTGAAGTCAGTGGAGACTCCTGATGGCAATTGTTGGCCTTGGGATGTTTAAAACTATTAGTTTCAGCAGATGTTTGGTTTTCCATGTGCTGATAACTGAAAAAACGTGTTCTGCTTCTAGACAGGTTCTGTTACGTGTTGTGATGTATTTGTAATGTAGGCAGTTAGTATTGCTGAAAATGATTTTGCTTTTTTCAGACTTCTGTGCAAGTCTTGATCAAGTAAGTTTGAACAGACATCTGTAAGAGGGAGGAGGAAGAGATAGGTAATGGGCTGTTGATCTGTGTAGGTGCAAAATTTGATCCATTAATTTTTTTGCCTACAGGCCACCAACCTTCTATAACAGCACATCACCACCAAGACCACCTTTTCAGGGCAATGACCCACATTCTCAGCATATGTATAATCCAGGTTCAAGTCCAGGGCCTGGACCTGGCATGTCACAAGGACACAATGGACCGCCGATGCACCCAGGTTCTCCTGGACATCATCCATGCGCCGGGCCTCAAGGCCCAGGAATGCCACAGAGTCCTCCTATGCAGGGTGTTCCACCAGGCTTTTTAGGACCACAGAACCAGACTGGTATGCCTATGCAAGCACAGCAAGGTGGCCCACCTCTAACACCACCGGGTCTTGGTGGATCTTACAATGCCCCAGGAGTTCAAGGACATATGGTGAATATGCCAAGAGAGAATCATTGTCCTCCGGGGCCACAGTATCAGCAGATTCCTGGTGAACGGCAGCCGAATATGAATTATGAGCCTATTCAGAACCCAGCTGACTTCTATGACAATTACTATTCTCATCAAGCTGTACATAACTTCCAGCCAACTAATAACTCTGGTGGTAAGCACTTTTCAAAATGGTTGTTCCTTGACACGATGTTTTGCAGTTGTGCAGTATTAAGGCATCATAGCCCCAAAGCTGAGCACTGAAAAAATTTTGAAGAGAAAGCCATTTCTCCTGAAATGTCTTCAGTGCATATGCTTTTTCAGCTGATGCTTTCTAAACATGTGTAACGTAATTCAAGTTAGTTCAGTTTGTTCTGTGTTTTCTGTTTTAACTCCTCTGCTGTAAAGGCTTATATTGGCTATCAGCTAACTGGTGTTTTGGTACTGCAGATGGAACATGGCATGGTGAATTTGCAGATCACCAGGCTCACCTCATGGCTCAAGAGTCGCACACAGGTGGAAGTGAGTCAGACTGCATCAGTAAAATGGGCCATAAACCAGCCATTAACGTGCCGGATTTTCTTCCAGCAATGCAGAAAGCCCTTTATGTAAGACTTAGTCAAAAGCATCAGGAAGATGGAGACTCTGTCAGCAGCCAGGGTCAGAGGACAATGAGCAAAGAAGAAGGTAAGGTTAATTTTGTTACAGTTTGAAACATTCGTATTGACCATATATTAGCCTAGAACAAATGCATTGGTTTGGATTTTCAGCATGTTGTCGTTCACGATTATTGTGCGTGCAGAAGTACCAACTCAAATAATGATTTCAGCTGTAGATACTCACTTTCCTTCCCAGCCTGTTCTAGGGTTTTAGTATGGGCTTAGCTAATGCATTTCAGTTCAAGGTAGAAAGATCGGTAGATAATTTGTGCATATAGGTTGTACTTTTAAAAGGTTTTGTTGTTCTTACATCAATTACTTCTTAAAATCCTTGATTGAAACAGAAAGGTTTATTATTTCTAACTTCCAGTGCTGCAAGCTCATCTTAGATTCTATTCGTTCTGTGGCACCTCTTGATCTTTTTGCACGTTCTGTTTCTCTAGAGCGGTATCCTTTCTCTGCAGTCTCTGAATTTTGCAGTGTTTAAAACTGAGTGTCTCTGTAAAGCAGAGAACGGAGAGCAGTAAGTCTGCAGATGAGATTCAGCCAGCCAGTCCCTTGACCTGCTCCCTGCTGCACTCTTTTCTGAGGGTCCTGGAAGTGCTTCTGTCCTGTGACCGAAGTGCATCTTTTGTGAGACCAAAAGGGATTTGCTGTATCAAATGGTTACAATCATACTGCCAATATAATTCCGCTTGAATGGGGAGCAAGATCCGGAAATGCAGCCCTTCGTGGCTTCATACAAAACCAGAGTAACCTATTCTAACTGAAGGATTCTCACCAGTGCTTTAGAATGACTGGTCCTCCGATGTAGAGGGTTTTCACAAAGCAGCAGAAAACAGAAAAACTTTACTCTTTTAGCTGCCTCCTTGTAGCTTTACCGTGTCACTCCCTTTTGTTGAATATTTATGTGATACAGCTAGCAGTGAGGAAACATACGTTGTGTGAATTAAGTAGTGGTGATATTGGTGGGCTTCATCTTCATTTCCCAAATTACTGAGCCAAAGCAGACCAATGTTCTCCTTCAGTGGCTATTTAAGTTTCAAACGTGGACCTGAGCACACAACTGTGTCGATGAGGCTGCTGCTATATTGCTTTCCAATAAGTTGCAGAGGTAATTAAGTTTATTCTTTAAAATTAAATGCTCTTACTACCCTTTCTGAATCTTGAGCACTCCCCAAAACCTTGTGATGTGGACTGTAATGAAGCAGCAATTCAGCATTTGTAATTTATCCATTTTTTAAGACAACTATAAGGTTCCATCTTACTTTTCCTCTGCCTATACAGCCAGGAAGGTCACTTTCATTGCGACGCAGATTTTAAATGTTTGGGCTTTTGTTTTTGTTTTGGGATTGTTTTTTTTTTTTTTACTAATATAGGTAGAAATAATTGTTTGAAAGTATGTTATTTTCCCAGATTAGTATTGAGAGATATACATGGAGAGAATTCAGTAGAGTTTTGGAGTATCTCAACTGAATACAGGATTTTTTGTTATTTCAGTTCTTCATTCAAACTGATTTTTTTTTCATTTTAGATCCAAGTTGTTATAATGCGGTGAACTATGACTTAATACTAGACCTCTGTTCTATTGTATTGAGAAGTTACCCTTTGATATCAACACATGTTTTGAATTATTTCCCAGTGATCATTTGCTGGAATATATATGTATTTTATCTATATATATATATTTTTTTTTTTAGATGACAATGTAAACTGGTACTCCAGTAGTGAAGAGGAAGAGGGGAGCAGTGTTAAATCAATACTAAAAACCTTAAAGAAACAAAGCGAAAATTTTAGGAGTCGGCAACAACATTCCACAGAGCAGCACATGCTTGGTATTCCTACTGACCCGAGGCTGGCAAAAGAAAAAGGCTCAGGACCCCAGGCTGCTGACCCAAGACTTAGGGCCTCTCCAAGGTCAAACCCCAGAAAGCCTTCAGAATCTGCATCCTTGGACCCACGGCTTGCGCGAGATCCCAGGATGTTAAAGGTTAGTGAAGGTGGCCATGCCAGCTCGTCTCTTGGGGGAGCAAAGCTAGATTTACATCATGCGCACACTGGCGTTAAAGTCAAGCAAAAAGGGATGGATGATGACGAAGAGGATTCAGAAAGAGAACTGAGAGAGCGAGCCTTCCTAATACCATTGGAACCTTTACCTGGTGTCACATTAAGGGATCCTCGATCTCAGCTGAGGCAGTTCAGCCACATTAAAATGGATGTTACCCTGATGAAACCAAACTTTGCTAAACACATTGTATGGGCTCCCGAAGACTTGCTCCCAATACCTTTGCCTAAACCTGACCCAGTCTCTTCAATTAATTTACCTCTTCCTCCACTCATTGCTGACCAGAGACTTAATAAACTGCGGAATTTAAAAAATGATCCCCATCCAAATGCAATGCCAGCTGACCCAAGACTAGCTGCAAAGGCAAAAAATAACTTAACGGGCAGGAGTGGCTATTTGGATCAGCCTGCAGACTCGCATGCCAGTAGCTCAAGCAAATTAGGAGACCCTCGCTTACAAAAAAATGTTGATCCCAGACTTCACAGACTGTCTAGTACAGACGCACATCATGGACTCGCAAAGGATTCACACCCTTCAAAGTTTGACCCCCGCCTCACCAGATCTGCTGCCAGTTCATCACAGTCCTCAGAAGCTGTGACTTCTAAAGCTGACCCAGATGCTCTGCCTCCATATGCACCCAAGTTATCATCAAGTGGTGTCAGACTGGGAACTCCAGGATCGATTCTTAGCGGTATTAGTTTGTATGATCCAAGAGATCACAGCTCATCATTGGACACAACTCCAGTTAATCCAGGGGAGAATGGAGAGAACCAGAAAAAAAGTATTTTGAAAAATTCTGGTAAAAATGAGCCCAGTCTCTCAGAAGATTCATTGCTGCAGAAGGCTGCCTCTAACGCGGAAAAGAATACCGAAGGATCAGCAGAAGCCGCTTCAGATAAAGCAAATAGCACTGGTAAATCTCAGGCTAAACACTCCAGCACTGCACCTGCGGTGCATAATCTTCCTATCCAAGCTTTATCGGGATTAATCAGACCACAGTACAGTGATCCAAGGCAGGTTAGACAGCCTGGACAGGTAAATCAAACACAGGATAATGATCCAAACGGGGAATCAGATGATAAGTCATTAAAAGATGTTTTCAAGACTTTTGATCCAACTGCTTCACCATTTTGTTAGCAATTGATTTTAAGTCTTTTTACTGTTGTGAATATTGCAGTTTTCTGCTGTTTTGTAACTGGTTTACCTCTTTGCTTTATTTATTTTTAAATTATAATTATCAACACTTTTCAGCTGCTAATCTCAGAACCACATGCAGTTATACAGTATGCTATAGTGTTTGCAAAGCTGTGGTATTTTCTATATAATACTTTTCCAATTTCAGGGAGACTAATAATTGACATGTAGAAAAAACATGTATCGTGTTAGAGCTGATAAAAGCACTTTCATTGTAAATAAGTCATTAAGAAAGTCTGAAGACCTGTATATGTGTGAGCTGTCTCTTTCATAAACAACATTTAGATATGATTGCCACATTTGTATGATTGTATAGACACAAGCAATATTATGTACATTACTGTGAGAGACACTGTTTGACAAGGATTGTCTGATGCATCAAGCCAAACCTACTAACTGAAATATACAGAAATGATTTAAAAGGAAAATGTTGATCCTCCTTTTCAGATCAGTTGATGTAAGACATTGGTTTTTATTCATGCAGTCAATATTCTTAGTGTAAAAGATACCTATATCACATATTGAGGAGTACAAATGTCATATCTTTTAAAAGTATTTTATTCTATACTGTATATAGAAGAAATTGTGAAGTACATAACTAGAAGAAAGTTACTGTTAAAGTGGAGAATACCTAAGTTGTCTAATACAAAAAAGGTTTTTATTTAATTTTTTCACGCATACACAATTCTGATTAGTGCTATAAGTTACATTGTGGTGTTCATGTATTTCAATGTATTTTTGTATTCAGCTGCTTAATTTGTATTGCTTTTTTTGTATTGATGTAACTGCAGTACTTGTATTCATTGTGTCTTTATGACATTTTTAACAAAAAATTAAAAAGGGTACAGTTAACGTCTGGTAATGACTGTGATGTTGACATGTCTACAGCTAGTTCCCTAGGCCTGGGGAAACAGCAGTAGGGGGTGTCTGAAGCGTAGATAAAGGTGCTTGGAACATATTTTAGTACAGTCAGCTGGCTGCTAATACCAGTTGGCAATCAGGTTGTAGTGTGTTTTGGGATTCAACACAAGTTTAGCTTAAAAGGAGTTAGCTTGGCGAGTGGTTTCACAATCAGACTTCTGATTTGGAGAGAGCCATCACTGTTCTCTTATTATAATTAACGTCATTATGAGAAATGTCATGCATGCGCTTTAATTTTTGAAGATGTTGCACGCCCAGAGCACAACTGTCCACAAAGCCATTCTGGTTTTGCCTTCTGGCTTGCTTTACTATATATAGGAACTGTAGTTATACCTAACTAGCTACATTTAAAATAAAAATTTGCAGAATTTCATTCTGCTCAATTGTCATCTGCCTCCTGCCCAATTGGAATGTTCCTTTCCGTTAAGTTTCTTCCTTGGTGGACCTCTCCCTATTTCTCTTCTGTTTCTTTGGCCCAGGTAGTGCTTCCAGCTGGGACAGCATGTTTATCCCAGATTCTTTGGTTTGGTCTCTTGTGCCTGTGAGACAAGCAGTAATCCAGACAGGAAGGCAAGCGTCTTGCATTGCTGAGCAGAACTTGGGAGAGCTGAGGGAATCGGATAAATTCTACTGCTGTAAAACGTGGCAAAGGAGACATCGCTGAAGGCAATAATTATTTCTGTTTGTCTTCCTAATTTCTCAGATTATACATTGCATTAGTTTTAGGATATTTTGAATAGCACTCATTCAAAATAATTAAAAACTAGATAACAGATGTGAAACATGGTTGCTGTTTTGGAGTAATATACTAATCCTACATGATCAGTTTGAAGTCGTCAAGTCAAGAATTAAGTTTGGCTTTTTAAGGATTTTATCAAGAAACCAAGATAGCAGGGAAAAAGGGAAATAGCACGTGGATATATAGGCGAACAAAAAGAAAAAGCAACAGGTCTGTATTGCCTGAATAGCCAAATGCACGAAGCCAAATGTAAGTTTTCACATTTAGATATGGAAAGCATTAGACCACACTTACAGGACCAATAATTCTGATCTGAAGTTATGACCTCAATAGGGCAGTGAGGACACTAGCAAGGAAATGGACTCTCCATTTTTTGAAAGGTATTGAAAAAGAAGAGTGAAAGGAAAAACTCTGATACCAAGGGCAAAATGACATGCCTCATAGTCAAGGTAATTGAAGGATCTTAAATGGTTTGCCTTACGAAAGATGTTAACCAGACACTGTAAATATCGACACAGGGAAAAACTGCAATAGTTCTTCCATGTACTGAGTTAAGCGCAGCAAGGGCAAATAACTGACACTTGCTGTTCAAACCAGAAGTAGGATGCAGTGTTTAGTGATGTATTTCACCACTGAAGCAGCTTTTTTAAGTGAAAGATTCTTCACCGTTTGCAGTAGTGACATTTAAGCAGGGAATCTTTACGAAGCACGCAGTCATTCACCTAAAAATAACAGACCAGCTTTGGAGTTGCAGATCAAAATGGGATGTGTTCTGGTAGGCAGACCCAAAGCCATAGTTTCTAATCTTGGAGAGCCACTCCCATGTTAGTATCTTTAATACAGTGTAGAACTTTTTTTTGGAAAAGATGATGGACAAGGTAAGGAGAAAATGCAATTTGAAAGGGGCCAGCTTGGCCTTGCAGTCTGTTGTCTCCAAGTGTAACCACCTCCTGCCTTCTCCCGAGATCCAGCCTTGCCTGGCCAGCAGTTTCCCATGGGTGTCCTCAACGACAGCGCGAGCAACTGTGGGCCACAGCACGGCTCCTCCATCCATCTGGGCTCCCTGGTTCACTGCTGAATCCTTCTCCTGGTCTAAGGCTGCTCTGGTGCACCAGCTGCTGCTGCTCTCTCATGGAAAGGTGGAGGTGATTCATTGCTATGCTGCAAGTACTGAACGACCTGATCAGTCAAGGGGGAAGGAGTTGGGGGGGTGTCTGAGCCTGGGGGGTGGAGACAGGAAGATGTGTGTGTGGCCAGTCCTGCCCTGCTGATATCAGCTTGAGCAGACTCCAGCCACCAAGCAAGTCAACTCCAATCTGCCATATGGAATGTTTTGTCTTTCGTGGGGGAGACTTGTTTCTTCTGTAGGTGCGGTATGCTGGCACGGAGCAGCGCTTCCTTCCAGTACTCGAAACTCACGTCGCTGAAGTTGTGAAACAAGGGTGTGAAGAGCAGGAACAGGAGCAGCCAGTATTGTTCATCCTGGATTCTCCAGAAGCCCATAATTGTAAGGTGGGTGATCATCAGCATTGCATGTTTTACTCTGGCCTCGTGTCCTAAAAGCCCGGAGCTAAGAGGGTTCTCAGGAGAAAAGTCTCATTTCTGTGTAAGCTGTGGGATCTGCTGATTTGGGGACAGCCGGTGAGACACCAAGGTTCCCCACTCTTGCTAGCCCTAGAGATGTGAAAGTTTTTATTTAAGTGGAACGCGGGCTAAGATTATCATCTCTGGTCTTGTCTGTTCTCTGGGCATCAGGAGTGAGTATTCCTAGATCAGCACCTGGTGTTTGCTGCCTTATGCTTCAAAATATTCTTACAGAGATTTCTAGGCTCTCTAGGTAACCTGTTCTAATATTTTTCTGCCATGAAAAGACTCTGATATGAATCCTTTCTCTTGCAAGGCAGAGAATATTTAACTAGACTCCTATTCCATTTCAAAAGTCAGAGACCCTATCTCTTAGTCGTTCTTTTCATTCAGTTCTTTCCTCCAGTCTTTTTTGGAACCTCTTCATCCATGTTACCCTTTGAATTCATATTCGCCTTTGAGCCCCACTTAGGCCCTTTGCACTGGCTCTTCTGCAGAATTATTCATGTCTGGCTGTGTTTCCTGTGCTGCACGCTTAAGATTGCTGCCCTTCGAAGGAAAAAGCATGGTTGCTACAAATCCCCCTCAACTCCAGAGTTCTGCAGCTCACCTTCAGCCTCTAACAGCACCACTGTTGAAGGCCATCTTGTACAGGAGACCCGCAATATGATCATTTATAGGATCCCCAGATCCTTTCCTCCAGCCTCCTCTACTGCTCTCCCTCTGCCTCCCAGTATGGGAATTCTTCACTAGTAATAGGAAGGGTGGCATTAAATATGTATTTGGCTAAGTAGGCTAGGTTTTTAGCTCAGTGTTTGCCCACTGCTGGTGCCTGCCCCCATTAATTCAAATGTCCTGTCTGAGCTGAAGGAACCAGGTCTACCAGTGCAGTTCAAGCAAATGTCTGTGCATCATCTTCCAGTTGGAACTTAGCTCTTTTCTCACCTTACTGTACTTAAATTCTTTTAGGCAGTCAAATTGCTCCTTACTCATCCCCAGTGCCAGGAAGGTACTAAGTGCCCCACTGGATCTGAACTTAGTACTTGCAGCCTTTTTGAGGCACTCTTTGAAACTGGTGGGTTTAACATCTTCCTCTGAGGACATCCTTCCTCGCTGCTGTCACCTTCACAAGAAGAAGGGAGAAGATCCAGCTGCTTGTCCCAGACAGGGTGCCCCTTAAAAACCTATTCAGTTTCCCTGAAGGTTTTGAGATAAGTTAAGTTTCTGATTTTAACTAAGCTGTTTTCTTCCTAGTCATGTTTTCAGCGCAAGACCTTTGACTTAACATGCTGAAAACATTCCTGAGATTCCCTAAACCATCTCAACTGCAGAAGTCCAAGGATGCAGGCCTCTTTCTGCAGGTGTTAGGTTTGAAAGTGGGCTGTTAACTTGTGTCAGAAACCTGCCCAAGTGACACTGATTGTGTGGGACATTGCTAGCATCTCTTAAGATCCCCCCCCCACCCTTCTGCCAGCACCAGTTTGCCATGCAGCTACTTTGGTGCTGTCTTTCTCTGGCACTGTACTGGCGCCAAGCTGTTCGCTGATGTTGTGTAAGTAAGCACATCTCTTATCCCGCTGTGTCTCTTAGCACATTGTCTCTACCAGCAGCTCTACTTAGCATGTTGTTGTTCAGAAAACCTCTACTATCCCTATGAGACTTACAGTAGATTTCTAATACAGAATTATCCTTGCTTTTCTTGGTCTACACCCAGAAACATCAGCACTTTTCTATCTGCCACCTGGTCCCTGCCTTTTGTACAGAACTGCCCAGGACATTCTTAATATAGCCAGTACAGAACTGCCTGCATTTTTCTTATCCTCAGCAAGGTAAGCGCCTAATGCCCATATTCCTTTCATGTGATCGCCCCCAAAAGCTGTGCCCAGTGTTTCAAAGCATCCTTTCACGCAATGCTCTAGCCTGGGCTTCTGGCAGCTTATTTTCTGCAATGGCTGAAAGCTCTGACCGTGGCAGTCCTGCTGAATGGTGAGCACTGCCTTGTGTATCCAGAGAGGACGTGTGATTTGCCCCCAGGCTGGCTCACACCTGCAAAGGTGCTTGCATTACATGAATACTAAGAATCTGATTCCCATGTAGCCCCTGTTGGTGGCCCTTGATCCAAGAGGGTTTGACCCTCTTCATTACAGCCCCCAACGACCACCATGACAGATAATGAAGATCAGTGAATGCTGATATTTTACTGAAGAGGGAACCCTCTCTTTTCCCTTTTGCTGGGTCTTACAGCTCCTCCAATGGCCCTTCCCCAAGTCCTGTGTCCTTTGTTGACTCAGTCAACAAAGTCTTAATGTCTTACTACTCAACTTCTACTCAAAAAAATGTCTTACTACTCAACTTCATACGCCATCTGGATGCAAGGCCTCTTAGGAAATACACTACTGTGTGGTATCATTTTATTCCTCTGCTAGCGTGCACGACCTTGCACTCTCAGTCCTCCAGTAAGAGCAGTTCTAGTAGAAGAGAAGCTGGGGGAAGTGCAGCACAGGCCACCTTTCTACTGAGGCAAATTAGCAGTGCAGTTAATCTCTAGCGGAAGTCCCCTCCTGTTCTTGGGGGTAGCGGTCCATAATTGTAGCTCCTTTAACAGCTT